TTCTGGGATTTTTGCTCACCGTTCTTGTGATCATTTTGACCCCACGGGGTGAGATCTTGCGTGGAGCCCCAGATCGAGGGAGATTATCAGTGGTCTTGTATGTCTTCCATTTTCTAATAATTGCTCCCACAGTTGATTTCTTCACACCAAGCTGCTTACCTATTGCAGATTCAGTCTTCCCAGCCTGGTGCAGGTCTACAATTTTGTTTCTGGTGTCCTTTGACAGCTCTTTGGTCTTGGCCATAGTGGAGTTTGGAGTGTGACTGTTTGAGGTTGTGGACAGGTGTCTTTTATACTGATAACGAGTTCAAACAGGTGCCATTAATACAGTTAACAAGTGGAGGACAGAGGAGGCTCTTAAAGAAGAAGTTACAGGTCTGTGAGAGACAGAAATCTTGTTTGTTTGTAGGTGACCAAATATTTATTTTCCACCATAATTTGCAAATAAATTCTTTAAAAATCAGACACTGTGATTTTCTGGATTTTTTTTTTCTCATTCTGTCTCTCATAGTTGAAGTATACCTAGGATGAAAATTACCGGCCTCTCATCTTTTTAAGTGGGAAAACTTGCACAATTGATGGCTGACTAAATACTTTTTTGCCCCACTGTATATGACGGCCGAAAGATAGTTTGGAATCAGCTTTCAGTCTCTAACTCAGACATAAAACAATCCTCTGAAATTCAGGGAGCACAATGAGCACTAAATGTCAACAGAGAGCTTTGTCTACATATAGAAATGTTCTGCTCATCAGGGAGCAGCTCCAGGCAAACCCACCTAATCATTACCACCTTATTACTTGACATTACTGAGGAGTGGCTGGGAGAGCAAACTGACATCTGCTTGAATAAAAATAACTGTGATGAGTCGTTTTGCTTAGAGAAGAGGATTCAAATCTTGATTTAAGTTCTCTAAGTTGACACCTCGCTCCGTGCTGCAGCAGCGAGGTTACAGAAGGTGTTCCAGTTTATCACCCTGTTCGCCCGGGGCTAGAGAGGTATGAATACCTCGCTGGTAAATAATTTGGAGACAGACCGTAGTGTCAACACACTCAAATGAACGGGCTCGGCCAGCTGAAACCAAATCCAGTGTTGTTGCTACGTGCGCTTCCTTTGTATCTAAAGCTTTAAAATCAAGCAGTTAACTCACTTTTGTTCACTCCCTGGTAATGCTGTCAGAGCATCTACCTTCTCATAAGAGAGACTAAATGCCCTGACTGCAACAAGAGCAACCCTCTTTCATTGGTTCAATTCCAACAATCACACAGCCACTGACGGATTCTATGTTCACAGACATGTTGATGACATCCCGATATATGAATTATATTTTATTTTCTTATGATTTAATTCCCTCTTTTATATGGTCTCTTTAAATAAAATAATAAAAACAATTATGTAGGGGGGCGTGTGGCGCAGTGGATTAGTGTGTAGCATGTCGTTGTGTCCCTGAGACACTTCACCCCAAATTGCTCCTGTGGGGATTGTCCACAGTACTGAATGTATGTAAGTTGCTTTGGATAAAAGCGTCTAACATGTAATGTAAATTAAAATATTGAAAGTATGGAAATCAAACTTATCAAATGTATCATTCCAATATGTCCAAAAAAAAAATCACACTTATTTTCCTTTTTTCGGTGTTGTGCCAAACAAAGAAACAACACTGCATTGAAAACGTTTCCATCGCTCTACAAATCAATGTAATTGTTGCTGCTTGTTAATGCATCCTACACCGAGGAGTCCTCTCACACAGTTTAACCAGGGTACGCAACTCGTGAACTGCGTTTCACATTGTTCCCTCTTTCATTCTCCATGTTCTCTCCCTTCTCTTTTTCCCTTTCTACCTTTCCTTACATCCCTTCTGGACTCCAGGGGGAAGTGCTGTGTGACTCTGCTGAACGAGACAGAAGCCCTGAAGTCTTACCTGGACAGAGAGGTACGTACCATCAGGTCTTCACGCTAAAAATAATAAGACGGGATCTCCTAAACTTTGATTAGGTGGGCGAGATAACTGATTATTTAAAAGTCTGTCTGTGAGAAACGTATGAGTTAAGAGATTCTTGTTTCCAGATGAATAATTCAACGTGTTGACCCAGAATGTTCTTTTCACATACAGTAATGAGGAGACGAGAGACTAGCAGAGGGGAAGATACACACACACACACACACACTCCTCTCTTTCGCCTCTCCGTTTGCCCGTCTCGCTTCCTGTTTCTTTCATACCATCCTCACGCCTTCCTGCCATCTGTATTTCCCAGGATGCCTTCTTCTACTCGCTGGTGTATGACCCTCAGCAGAAGACCCTGCTGGCTGATAAGGGGGAGATCCGCGTCGGGAACAAGTACCAGGCCGACATCACCGACCTCCTGAAAGAAGGTACAATATACTTCAATTATTTTTGTTTAATTGACACAGTTTTCCTAGAGAAGCTTATTCACAGAGCAACACATTATAATGCTCTTCCTTCAGGGGTCTTTTTACCCTCCTGGGTACTGAATGATTGTTTGGAGCAATCTATCCTCAACTTAAATTAACTTGTTAACTTTTCATGTCTGTTCATTTCTCAGGGAAATGTCATTAACTGTATGCAATCTTTTTCTGCCCCAAGCTTCCTTATGAACTCACTTTTTTTCCATGGCTACTAAACAGCACAATTAAATGATAAAAACCATAGAGTGCCACAGTGACGCGTCCTAAAACCCAGAATTAAACTCCTTCCGGTTCCTTAGACAAAAAGCAATGCAATTTCTCCATAGGATTTTGGAAAATAGCTGGAAATAAGATCTGTGGTTGAGACACATTTAATCGACTGATCACGTTTTGTTCAGCTGGATAATATCCACATGTCTACCCTACTTTCATAATTTTCTAATCGTAAATCTAATCGCCAGGAGCAAAATGCTAACGTTATGCTATAAACGAACTACAGCAGGGTCGCTGCTTCAACGTCACGCCAACTTAAGATCCATATTCAAAACTACAGATTCAAAATGGTACAAGTTGAAGCGTTTGTTTGAACAGTTTGCAGGAGGCAGGTACTTGCTTTCAAGCAGAACAGGGCAAACAAACTTAGCGGGAGTGTTTACGTGTTCGGTGTAATGACGTACAACGGCCTCGACAACTTCTGAAGTCCTATTCAGCCACTTGGTAACAACCATCGTTTTTTCTGACACGTAAACTCTTCAAGAATCACCAGTGGGGTCACTGCTGATGTATTTAATGTCGTAGAACAAAACGTGATCCGTCTCTTACATGTGTGTCAACCACAGACCTTATTTCAAGCTATTTTCCAAAATCCTATGGAGAAATTCCATTGCTTTTTGTCAAAGGAACCGAAAGTGGTAACATGCTAACGTACTTCCGGGTTTTAGGACTCGTCACTGTGGCATTCTATTTAGAAGAACTGATTAATGTTAATGTGCTGCACATTTTAAAGTCACCCCGCAAGTATCGAAAGGATGGGGTGCCTCATTTGAATTGAAAATATATTTTATTGTAACGTTCACTAAAAAACTGGATCAAGTTCCCATTTCCCTAATTTATAAAGGGCAACCTGTACGCCTGCATGCAAGCTGTAGCTGAATCATCTGACTATAATGAGCCCTGAACTCAAATATTGTTGGCAAACACAAAATTAATATCTGCAATTTACCACATGACAGCTGTTTAATTTTAAGCCTTAATCTGAAGGTGCTCTCATAAAGTCTACCCCCAGTAATCTCATTCTACGGGTAAATATAGTAACTCTTATCTTAAAATAGAAGAAATGGGTATTACTGTACAATAAATAAAGCAGCTTTTACTAACTAGTGTCATTAAGGTCGATACTTTTTTTCCTCCATTAATCCCTCTGAATCCTTTAGAGAATCAGAAACAGTCAAATTAGCTCGTGTTTTGTTTCCCTCGTTTATGTTTTTAAGTAGAAATGTTGAATCGTCACCAAATGCATGATCGAGTGCAGAAAATACCTGTGTGCATTCATAAACTGCTGCCACTGAGCTTGGTTTACATTGAAACCAATGGAAGCTGCTTCTCGCTGTCTGAAAGCATCTGAAAGTAATTTGAATGTGGCCTAATTATAATTTGGCGAATGAGATTATTCCTTACACTTGCAACGAGTGTTTCTTCCTTGTAACTTCCATAATATACAAAAAAAAAATCTTATCCTAGCAAGTCTGAAAGATATGTTGTGCCAGTATTGTGTTTAGATATTCAGCATTTCAATTGTGATTATTTCTCAGCGAGATCGTGTTTAAGTGTTTTGCCAGAATAGTATTCTTAGCATGTAGGAAAACCTCTGAAATTTCAATTAGGCACTGTTGGGACACCAAGCTCTCTAATTAAGCCAAGTTAGCGAAATGCTGTTGCTTTTTTTAGAAGTTCAGGCAGATTGGCAGCCTGATAGACCCACCTATTAAACTGTGCCATTCATTATAGCTTTGCTCAAGTGATTCGAAAAGAGGGAAAAACAGGAAGGAAATCAGGCATCAGGGAATTTGCACATTTTTGTTGCACATGTGTGGTCGGTAAGAAGCATTGCCGCCTTGAAAAGCGAAGGAGAAGTAACTGTGTCTTTAACTGTGTCTGTGTGTGCAGGTGAGGAAGATGGCAGAGACTTGGAGAAACTAGAGGAGAAGGTCTGGGACTATACCAGCCTACTGACGGAGAAACAGATCGACCAGTTCTTAGTAGTAGCTCGGTAAGTCATCACGAAAGTGCAAAGGATTACAAATAATCCAAAAAAGAGAGGGAAGAAAATATACATACATAATGCTCTGTGGCTGGGAGTTAGTTGAGAAAATGGACTCTCATATATATTTATGATGAATATAAAGCCTCATCCAAGAGAACTTTTGCTTAGCATAGCCTGCAAAGCATAAGGACTGAAACAAGTGTTAACCCACCCACCAACACATCGAACGCGCGTTAATTAATATGTTACCTTGCTCTAAATTTCAGCTGTATAATTTGGTTGCAGTTACATTTTTCTGTGATGACAAAACTTAAGGTATTTTTACCCAAATTCTCATATTGAACCTTAACATGTCTTTTTCACACTTTCTTACAGATTAGACAGAAATATATGGTTAGCTTTAGATGCCTTGGTGGGTGAATTGGTTACCTTGCAGCAGAGTTGGCTAGCTGCTTCCAGTCTTTATGCAAAGCTAAGCTAACCATAGCATGGCTCCGGCTTCGTATTTAAGAGCTTTGTCTATTCATAAAAGAAAATACGCATATTCCTTCAAATGAGAGGTTAAGTTTTTCAGAGCTCCTCATACAGTAGCACCAAGTTGTGCATTGGCAGTAGCAGACATCATTTCTTACCTTAATGTTCTTAGACTGCTACCAGCCGGAAAGTCCTGTGAAAAGTTTCCATGTGTCCTATTCCTCATTCAAACATTTGCCTTTTATTGGCCTTGCAATTTTTCCCGGTGTTTATGCTTGCTAGTCCGATTCTCTTGACAGTGATTTCATGATGGCGCTTTGAGATAACTTTTGAAAATGTGGCCCGAAGTCAACTTGGACTCAAGGAGAAACTGATAGATAGATGGATAGATTTGAGTGGACATAGGTCGAGATAAATGTGACATCACAAAACAAGTATTTTTTTGGCCACAACTTAAGAAAGCAGGAGCGTATTATGACAATTTCACCATGCGTCCTAGGATAAAATGACGAACTGATGACATGGAACTTAACTATTCAGTGTAGGGGAAATATTTTCCTGGGCCCATACATTTGACCCAATTTATCAGTCTGTACTGCCCTCAATGAGCACAGGCCTCTAACCTTGGGCTGCTCTGTGTTTTGTCTCCCTGTCCTGCCTGTTGGCGTCAGCTGAGGTTATACACATAGTTATACTGCTTTATCTTGTTATGCACAATGTTGATTCTTCTCTCAGAACTAGCTAAACACATGGGTCTGGGGGTAGAGATCATCAGAGTTGGTTTGGCAGCCGCTCTGTCACCTCGTGGCACACGACATGTCTTGTGAATTCTCCGGCCGAAGCTCCAAATAAACAATCAGTGTTTGCAATCAAAGTTCCTGCTCTCCCCGTGTCTCTCTGAGTCCCCATTGCTTCAGAAGTTTCCATCACAGTCAGTGATTCTGGTTTTCAGCTAGATATGGTTGCTTAGCAGTATCATCACATTCAGTTCAAATTGGCTGCAGTTCCACTTGCTCTGCAACACTACAACACTGAATATTTAATCGTGAAGCACTGGACATCCTTTCTTGCTGTGCACAAATGGTTCAGAAAAAGGCTGACGGAAAGAACTATATCAATGACTAAATGGAGGAAGTAAAACCAAAAGCAGATTCTCTATCATTCTATGTGTACATTTTCTTTATACTTTACATCATATCTGTGTCCTGTAGGTCGGTAGGAACCTTCGCCAGAGCGTTGGACTGCAGTAGTTCAGTCCGGCAGCCCAGCCTGCACATGAGCGCAGCTGCAGCCTCCAGAGACATCACCTTGGTGAGAAACACGCACGCACGCACGCACGCACGCACGCACGCACGCACGCACACACACACACACACACACACACCACCCCCCAAAGCGGCCTTGGGTTGAATCAGAATCACACTATAGAGGGAACATTTTAGCAGTTGTGCTGCTAATCAGAGAAAGCTCTTGTAATGCACGTGTGTGTTAGTGATTCTCGAGCCTTGTGTGTAGTTATCCTCAACAGGCGCTTGGCCCCAGAAGCCCGGCGTGGGTCTATTCTGCCCTAGATCTCATTCTCATATATAAAACATAGATGAGAGGCTTCAAGCTACACACACACACACACGCACAGCCCAAAGCCTTTGAACAAGGGGATGCATATACAGTCCATAGACTCAGTCATCCTCCTCCCAACAAGTCAACAGAGAAGTTTCAAACAACACTAACGGGTCATGAGACTAACATGTGTTCATATGTTGTGTTCAGTTTCACGCTATGGACACCCTCCACGCCACGGGCTACGACATGACCCGGGCCATCTCAGCGCTGGTGCCTCAGGGAGGGCCCGTCCTCTGCAGGGATGAGATGGAGGAGTGGAGCGCCTCGGAGGCCAACCTGTTCGAGGAGGCGCTGGAGAAATACGGCAAAGACTTCACCGACATCCAGCAGGACTTTGTGAGTAGCTGACCGATATTAAAAGGAATGGTTTGATATATTGGAGGTTGCAAGAAAATGTCCAGGCACATAAACAGCTGTTGTTTGGACTATTTTGGTGCTGGTAGGTGTTGTTGCCAAAACGATATCCTAAAGCTGGGGTTTTTGTCAATGGATTTATTTTATTACAATCTCAGAAATCATAAAATATCTAACGTCAGAACCACCAATTGGTTGTTAAATGAAATCATCATGATTTCATTTAATCATTTCTTAAAATCATAAAGTGCAATTACTTAGATTTATTTGATTGTGTCCATTAACAGACATTAAGATTCAATCAAATGCATTGGTTTGCATTAAATCAATATTTTTAGAACATTAGTTGTGGTAACAGATAAAGAGTGGTATTGATTGCAGCAAGAAATGGAACAAGATTTTGAATTGTTCTCACTATGTCTATGTGGCTAAGGCCTTTTTTTAAAGACTGGTTTTGCTTATTTAATTAAATGTGATAATTAAAACTGTACGCAGTGTATATAGTGCACCATTTATTGCTGCTTCTGAACGCAGTGACCACAGTATTAACGCCTGACTGTTCCTGATCTTCATTGAGTTATTTAGCTGACGTTACACAGATAATCTATTAAGCACAATAGTCGTCTTATAAACTAAGATTGCAGCTAGCCCACAGTAAAGAGTGAAAACATTTGAAAGCCAAGCACAATGAGCATTTATCCCGAGAAACATTCCATAGAAACATCTTTAGTGTGTGTGTGTGTGTGTGTGTGTGTGTGTGTGTGTGTGTGTGTGTGTGTGTGTGTGTGTGTGTGTGTGTGTGTGTGTGTGTGTGTGTGTGTGTGTGTGTGTGTGTGTGTGTGTGTGTGTGTGTGTGTGTGTGTGTGTGTGTGTGTGTGTGTGTGTGTGTGTGTGTGTGTGTGTGTGTGTGTGTGTGTGTGTCACTCCTCCACCTGGTGGCCGGATGCTGTCAGTGCGGCTCCCTCTGGCTTCCTCTCCAACAACAGGGCTCCAGCACCATGTTGGGTGGGGCCTCCACTTGACAGATCATGTTCCTTTCAAACTTCTCACAGGGATGTTTACGGTGCAGCTCCATTGGGTTCAAACACATCATGTGACCAGTGGTTATACAGAGGAACTCTTGACGGATAATTACAATTCAGTTGAAGTGCAGTCAGGTCTCCTGCACTTTAGATCGACCTCTCTGAAGAGATCAGGGCTGCCATCTCTCTAAAATCACACTCAAAAACCCTCATTTTTTAGAATTGCTTTTTATGTGATTTTGAATTTATGTTTTTACTTCGATTTATCGGTTTCACTCTGGCTTTTATTATGTGTGTAGCTGCTTTGTGCTTTTAAACAAGACCTGTTTTCACTGCAAAGGGCTTTCGAACTGTATTTGAAAGGTGCCATTTAATAAAGTTTGTTATAAAGACATGGTATTTTCAAGTGGGAGATCAAATGTGATAGTGACCTTTCTGAAAGTATGTTTACTTTGTGCCCTCTCCTCTCTTTTTCTCCAGCTGCCCTGGAAGTCCCTGACGAGTATTATTGAGTATTACTACATGTGGAAGACCACAGACAGATATGTACAGCAGGTAAAAACATCTATTATATCTCAGGCATTTAAGAAAAATCCTAATCAATATTTTTTCCATTATAGTAAGCTGTATATTTTGTATTCTTTAAAGCAGGGGTGGGGAACCTTTTTCCTCTCAAGGGCCATTTCAATTTTTTCAACATCCTCCGAGGGCCGTACAAATTATTGACCTCTGCTTAAAAAACTAAAATCACAGCCCATTAATTTTGCCTTTCTTTCATGCTGTGCAAAGAAAAAGCAAAGTGTTAATCCAGATATCGTACCATGACTCATGCATGCACGTGCACGGTGTGGCATGACCACCAAAACAGAAAGATATGGACACAAGATATGTGCAAATGTATTTAGTTTCATATCCATGTGGACATGATTTAAGTGGGTGCTAATAACAACAAAGTTATTGACTGTATGATCAGTATGACAGATGAACAGATCGCCACTGGGCTTTCAACTAAAGACACAGCCACACAAAACTGCGGCATGTGTACGGCTCCTTATGGGTACTGCAATTTGTGAAGTCCCGGCCCGGAGCCGCGTTCTGGTGCTCTCCGTTAGAACTACACTCCCCTGTCAGACGAGAAATATACCACGTGATGACACGTTAGGCTCGTGTTGTGTTCAAGGACCCTGACCTTGGCCAGGAAAAACAGGCACTCGCTTTTTTAATTATTTTGCGGTCTAGATTTCTTAAATTTTTTTCTTTTTTGCGTGTGTTTATAAATTACTTCGAGGGCCGTATCAAATGGCCTCGCGGGCCGTATACGGCCCGGGGGCCGGAAGTTCCCCACCCCTGCTTTAAAGCAAAACACGTTGATGTTTTTGTTCATTCCTGATGGCCGTTTATCTTCTTTTAACTAATTTACATTTGACTAGTGTTTTTCATCATTTTTCTCGCCCAATTCAACGCCCAAAATAATCGTGTCCTTACATTTCTTTTTTACTTTTTTATTCTCCCTTCACAGTTTGGCGTGTTTCAGCTCGAGTATGTCTGTCGTCAGATTTTCTTTATATTAGAAATGAGTCAGTTTAAGTCTCTTGAAATCGATGTAATCCATATGGGGTATTGTTGAAGATAACGTCACCTTCTCTCTCTTCTCTCTCCTCCTCCTCCTCCTCCTCCTCCTCCTCCTCCTCCTCCTCCTCCTCCTCCTCCTCCTCACCCCCTGTCTCCGCTCCAGAAACGATTAAAAGCAGCCGAGGCCGAGAGCAAGTTGAAGCAGGTCTACATCCCTAACTAGTGAGTACTCTGCACGTTTCTATGTGGTTAAATAAAATACATCAGAGATCATTGTGTTATCTCAATACATGGATACAAGGGTCGTACACAGTCCAGTTTTGGAAAATGGTCAATCTTAACTATGATGTTTTTTAAGTTTAAGGATACGTTTGCCTGCTTGACTTTCAATCTAATCTGGTGGACTTACTGTCACTCATACAAACGAATAATGTTTTAGTATTTGAAATGAAGCGAGCACATTGATTTCTCCTGCCGTATTACACCATTAATGTGATGCACAGATTTGATTTGGCATATTGTCAGTGGATGGCTGAACCATTGCTGTAATGGCTAAGAAAGATGTGTCATTAAAATAGCAAGGCTTAATCAAACTTTGAGTAATTCTTAAATATTTAGCAGTAATAGGATTGGGTCCAGACCTGGACTTATAAGTGTCAACGTTAAAGATCTGCTTCTGTTGTCAGAGCTAGCGACACTTCACTTGCAGTAGAATATACATGTGCTCTAATGTGTTTATATTTCCTGGTCTGACCCTCTCCCTGTTTCTGTGCCCGCTCCAGCAACAAGCCCAACCCCAACCAGCTGAGCAACAATTTAAAACCAGCTCTGGTTAATGGAGTGGCGGTTGCAGGTGTACCAGGGGTGCAGGGGGTCCCGGGGGTCCCAGCGATGCAAGTTGTCCCAACGGTGCAAGGTGTCCCGGGTGTCCCAGGTTTGCCAGGTGTCCCAGGGGTCCCAGGAGTCCCAGGGGTCCCAGGGGCTCCAGGCACGGCGCAGATCCCCGCCCTCGGCAGAGCCTGTGAAAGCTGCTACAGTAAGTCACTGACCTGTCATGTTCCTGCAACACATGCTGCTTCTCTTGCTGCTTGAAATCTAAAACAAACATTGGGGCTTATTCATAAGATTCCTATAATTGTCGTAATAATTCTCTTGAATTCACAATTGCAATTATATTTAAAAGAGTCTAACAAAGCATGCGCTATAATCAGCTGTATGAAATGTAAAATGTCAGAGAGAGTTTGAGGCGGTTGTCCTCTTTAATTAACCAACACACCAGGTCGGTCTTTTATCCACTCTGGAAAATGTGGTGGAAAAACAGATTGAGAAAATTGCTGGTTTAATGTGGAGGCAGGAAAAACAAAGAGAACTTTTTTAGTTGAACCAGTTTAAATTAAATGTACTCTGCTATAAATGTGGGGATGTTTTCTTTGTGATGTGCATCTCAGGTGGTGTATATCTGTGATCGTTATACATAGTTTCAGTGTATGTCAAACGTATGGCATTTTATTCCGATTTTTAACTTAACATACAGCAACCAAATCCTGAACTGATCCAACAGGGATTAAGCGGGGGTATCTATTGACCCATTATATTTTATGTCGTCGAACAAAACGTGAACATCTTGGAAGCTTGTGTCAACCACAGACCTTATTACAAACTCGTTCAGAAAACCATTGACTTCGAGACAAGGGAAGTGTTTTCCGGGTTAAGGACTCATTACTGAACCACTCTATTAACATTTTCAATTTTAGAAAGGATGTTCCCAGATCCACGCTGTATTCTTTGTCTGTGGCACACACATATTGGATTTACAAAATACAGAGGAGAGAGGACAGCATTACGTGCCCTGCAGTGTTATTTGGGTTATTTTAGAGGCTGTAGTTAATTCAGTGATGAATGATTAAAGGTTGTGTTTTCGCCTGCATGCACATGAGCACATATTCATGATTATGTGTTGTTACACTGTGCTCACTTTCGTGTGTGTGTGTGTGTGTGTGTGTGTGTGTGTGTGTGTGTGTGTGTGTGTGTGTGTGTGTGTGTGTGTGTGTGTGTGTGTGTGTAGCCAGCAGCTCCTACCAGTGGTACTCGTGGGGACCTCCCAACATGCAGTGTCGTCTCTGCGCTTCCTGTTGGACTTACTGGAAGAAGTACGGCGGGCTGAAGATGCCCACAAGACTGGATGGAGAGAGACCTGGACCTAACCGCAGCAGCATGGTACAATCTAACAAACAAACGCTCACACACTGACCCCATTTACACGCAACCGAATTCGATATCAAAAAAGTATTCCGTTCACACGGATACGGCTCAATAAACGTGTTCTGTTTATTCTCCGCGGTGGATTTAGCAACATGTAGTTCTCCATGTCCACTTGTTGCTGATGGTTGTGGTAGAGGAGCTGTAGATTTTGCACTAACATCTGTAGCATGGTCAGTAGCTACTGACAGTAGCTACTGACCATGCTACAGCAGTGAGCAGCAGAGGTGGGGAGAGGCGGGGCTATGGCTTCATCGTTATCAGGAAATTATCGTATAGGGCGTACACACGGAGCCGTTTGGCCCCGCACAGCGTTCCGTCCGCAGATCTATCCACCTTGGGACCCGTTATCGTTTTAGGGGTCCGTTTCCGCGGTTCCATTACGGCCTCGTGTGAACGAACGGGCTATACGAAAGAGAAAAGTAGCGGATACAACCCGTTTTGTTACCGTGTAAACAGCACATCTCACACACACACAAGCTTTACTAGAAATGTAGTTTATTTATTCTGCAAACAGCAGCCTTACAGTTTGCCTAAAGCTTTCCCCTGCCTTTAAAGGAGTAGTTCATCCTCCTGAGAAAAACCTTTCCTTTTATCCTCTTGTAATCTAAGGTAAAGTTTGTACATCATTAGGGCATCTTATTTTCATTAACGCTTAAAAAAAAAGAAGTATGTTTTCATCCAACCAACTGTTTCAAACTCAAAGATATTCTGTTTGTTATCATGTATACCAAAGAAAAGCTTTTATTCCTAATTGTACTCATTAGCCATGTAAATGGTTATATATGAATATCTTTGCTGACTATTGTGTATCTGTTGTCCCTGCAGAGCCCCCACGGCATCCCCATGCGTCACAGCGGCAGCCCCAAATGTGCAGTGAAGACGCGACAAGCTTTCTACCTGCAGACCACCGGCCTGACGCAGATGGCACGGCGCATCTGCCATGACATCATCAGGCCGCGGTTTCTGGCCAGGCACCCCTACCTCCCTGTCAACCTAGCAGCTATAAAGGCCGAGTGTAAGCGTTGCTCTCCGCCCTCCATCTAGACTACGTCATTCTTTAAGTTTTTACTCACAGTTTCTTTTATGTCTGCAGGTGCCATGCTGTTGCCAGATGAGAAAAAAAAGCCTGCACCACTGAAACCTGTGGACCGTAAACCCCTGGAGTCAGTGGTGCGGTATTTAGGTAATTAAAAACTTTATGTGGAGTTTCCATTTTCAGTCAGTTTTGCTCAAATTCAAAACAAAGACATTAGCAATTTGATATCTTGTTCTGCTTCAAAGTTGAAACAATTCTGTCGCTTATAGTCGCGTTCACACCGCAGTACTTTTCCCACTTTAGTTCCGATATAGTTCCGAAATGTCGTGTTCACACCAAAAAGGTTCTGATGAACTAAAATTAGTTCATCAGAACCTTTTTTACCCCCTTTTCCGTCCCTGCTAGAGAGCAGGTACTGTCGTGGGAGAAAAAGGTTCCTATGTCTGATTGGCTGGGCGGAATGCAAACCACGCCCCGTAAAACTCCATAAAAGTTTTGTGAAGCCGCCATTTTATTATCCTAGCATTAGCATTATTAGCATTAGCCCCAGCGCACAAACGCAGAGAGACTAACTTATGGCAACACAAAAGAAAACATGGGAGCGGTGGAGATGAGGATGTGTCGGCGTTCTGGCGATTTACTCGGAAGGCTTCAGTAGAAGCTGCTGGGAGTCCCAGCAGCTTCGACTGAAGCCAGTCCCCTAACTCCGGGGACTTCCGGCCGGGGACTTCGGGTGGCAGTATACGGTGTGAAGTTGTTTGCGGCCTGCCAGTAAACCCAAAGCAGAAGAAGAAGAAGTGACGTCAG